CGCCAGAGTTGTTTGTCTTCGGTTGTGGAACGGGGGATCCATGTACATATATTATTCCAGGTGAGTAAATTGTTCTCTGAGTACGAGGCAAGCTAAACCCATTTGTTTAGACCCCGATGAAGGTAGCGCCTCCGGAATGGCGGAATGAGCTCCATTTGGACCAGTGTGTGGGTTTTTCATTTCCTGGAGAAAGGACCAAGCGTTTTGAGGATAGGTCGGCCAGTCCCAGTGGATAAACCTTCTTGTTTTGGCGGATGTACCTGTGGGAATCTCGGGAAAAACGGGCAACGGACAAGAGGTGGCCAAACAGAGACAGCAATGAATCAAGAAGCACTAACACAGACTGGTGGCGCTCACCGGTGCCTATGATACATTCAAACTTATGTAATTTTGTTTAGTATACATAATTCGCAAGCGCGTTCTATACATTACGTCGCTGGTGTGACTCAGACTACAGCTACTACGTGGGAAGAAGGTTCTGCACGCGCAGGGTCAAAAGACCGATATAACAAAGCGTTTTAACAAAAGTTAAGCGAATGATGCGATGGTTTTAGAGAAACAGGTAAACCGATGATGATGGCAGAAGCCAGAATGCGAGAGGCATCTTAGGTGAAACTGAGGACAACTAGGTTGAGACCGAATGCGGGAGCAAGATAGGTAGAGCAACATTCCAAGAGGAAAAGGAATTTCAAGGAATCGGCTAGGAGCGAATGAATGCTGACGGCAATACGAGGAGTAGTTCGTAAGAGTAATTACGCTAAAGCGTTCATGATTCTACAGTCCAAAAGCCGTCAGAATCTAGGAAAATGGTCACAGGGGGCCAAAACTGCCGTGCATTGGGAGTCGTTATGACACGTACGGTCTCAATAGTATACCAGTGCGAGCATAAGGTAAAGAGCATAGGAATAGGAAGAGTGGTAAGTTGAGCATACTAATGGAAGTACTAGTCAAGCAACACTTAGCAATGGTCCGCGTGCCGCCAATACTCAGGAGCGAGCTCAGAGCGAATGAGATCATGCGCACGAGGATAACTTGGATAGGCGCAATGAGTGTAAGCTGTGGGAATAAAAATTGGAGCGCAATAAGAGAAAAGGCCAAGGATAATAGGAAATAAAAGCAGGCAGAAAGTGACAGACGGGTCAGGTGAGAGAGGATAACGGCAGGACAGTAAAGCCGGACGTCCGAGTTAAAAAGAAATGAAAACAGAAAGCGATAGAAAAGGTTAGGGTCTAGCTGACAATGGATCATTGGTAAAGCGTGGAAAGGCCCACAAGCCTTTCCACGTAGTGTTTACAGGACCAATAGGTCAGCCGAACCAACAGAAGTGACGTCTCAGAAGTCCATATGTATTCATTGAGTATGGACGGACTAAGCGGGATTGGGTTAATCGGCGCTTTGGGACTAGGTCGTACAATGCAGATAAGAAAGAGGCTATAACAATAATGTGGGTAATAGAGTTAACTCTGCGGAGCCAATACCGTTTAAGGCTCGGTATCATGGGAGCAGTCAGAGATTAACAGACTAGTCCAGTGAGACAGGATCACGGCAGGGCAGTAAAGCTGGCCGTCCGATTAATAAGGGGAATGAAAAGAGAAAGCGAGATAAGAAAAGGTTAGGGTCGGTATGAGAATGTGTTACTGATAAGAAGTGAGGGAGCCACGAAGCATTCCAGGTGATGTAAGCAAGGCGTCGAGTCAGCGGAAACAAGGTTTGTAATGTGGAATAACTCTAAGTAAAAGTGGAAACAAGTGGCTGATCTAGCGAGACTAGATTAGTCGGCGCGTAGGAATAGCACGTAAAATTAAAGGCAGGAAAAGAGGCTGTAACAAAAGGTGAACGAGTCTAGCAGCCTCACGAAGTAAGGGATCAAGAGCGTTGAGTCTGTATAGCGTATACCACTTAAGTCAGAGTAGCATATCAGCAATCAGAGAGAAGGAAACTGATCGGTGGACTAGATCACCACACCGACAGTTGAAGAACAATTGAGAACAGAGCGCGATAAAACATAAGTTAGCGACAGGATGAGAAGGGTTTATTCACGATGGGTAAGAGAAGTTCACGAGGCTCTCTAGGTAATGTAAAGGGATAGTGGAGTCAGACGAGCAAAGAGAGGCGACGTCTCAGAAGTCTGAATAAATCCGGAGAGCAGGAGGCCGATCGAGTAAGACTTGATTAGTCGCCGCGTTTGGATAAGGACATGTGGTAAAGGTAAGAAAGGGGCCAGCAGTAGATGGTGGGCAAGTCAAGCAGGCTCTAAATTTAAGGGAAACATCATGTTAAGACTACGGGGCGCATACCGCGTAGTCTTAGTAGCATAGTAGCAGACTGGGGGAAACAGACCAGGCAGGTGATCCAGGATCAGGGCAATGCGGTAAAGCCGGACTTCCGATTAAAAAAGGATTGAAAACAGAAAGCGAGAGAAGAAAAGGTTAGGGTCGGGGTGAGAAGGGTTTATTGGTAAAGAGTGGAAAAGCCCACGAGGCTCTCCAAGTAGTGTAAACAGCACCAATAGGTCAGCCGAACCAATGGAAGTGATGTCTCAGAAGTCCAAATGAATTCAGTGATTACGAGGCCGACTAAGCGGTATTGGATTAATCGGCGCTTTGGGACTAGGTCGTACAATGCAGATAAGAAAGAGGCTATAACAATAATGTGAGGTAATAGAGTTAACTCAGCGGAGCCAATACCGTTTAAGGCTCGGTATCATGGGAGCAGTCAGAGATTAACGGACTAGTCCAGTGAGACAGGATCACGGCAGGGCAGTAAAGCTGGTCGTCCGATTAAAAAGGGATTGAAAACAGAAAGCGAGAGAAGAAAAGGTTAGGGTCGAGGTGAGAAGGGTTTATTGGTAAAGAGTGGAGAAGCCCACGAAGCTCTCCAATTAGTGTAAACAGCACCATTAGGTCAGCCAAACCAATAGACGTGATGTCTCAGAAGTCGAAATGAATTCAGTGAATACGCGGCCGACTAAGCGGTATTGGATTAATCGGCGCTTTGGGACTAGGTCGTAAAATACAGATAAGAAAGAGGCTATAACAATAATGAGGGTACCAGTCTATACGTCCCTCAGAGTAGGGGTAATAGAGTTAACTCAGCGGAGCCAATACCGCTCAAGGCTCGGCAGCATGGGAGCAGTCAGAGATAAACAGACTAGTCCAGTGAGACAGGAGCACGGCAGGGCAGTAAAGCTGGTCGTCCGATTAAAAAGGGGAATGAAAACAGAAAGCAAGATGAGAAAGGGTTAGGGTCGGTATGAAATGGTTTACTGATAAGTAGTGAGGGATCCCACGAAGCTTTCCAGGTGATGTGAGCAAGACGTCGAGTCAACCGAACCAAGGTTTGCACTGTGGAATAACTCTAAGTAAAAGTGGAAACAACTGGCTGATCTAGCGAGACTAGATTATTCGGCGGGTAGGAATAGCGCGTAAAATTAAAGGCAGGAAAAGGTCCGCAACAATAGAGGGTGAGCGAGTCAAGCAGAATCTCCGGGTAGGGGGACAAGAGCGCTAAGTCTGCATAGCGCATACCACTTAAGTCAGAGTAGCATTGGAGCATAAAAGAGAAAGAGGCAAGTCAGTGCGACTAGCTCACCTCAGAGCAGTAAGATCGTGCACTCCAATTGAAGAAATGAAAGCAGAGCGCAATAATAAGAGTTGGGGTCAGGATGGGAAATGTTTTTGACAAAAGATGGGAAAAACCCACGATGCTCTCCAGGTAATGTAATCAAGTAGTTGAGTCAATCGAACTAAGCGAGATTACGTCTCAGAAGTCTGGATAAATCCGGAGAGCAGGAGGCCGTTCGGGAAGGACTTGAGGGGATGGGGGAACAGAGTTTTCGGAACGCAGAGCTAGAGTAATAATGGCTCGGAAGTCGGGAAGCAGTTAGAAACGGGGGCTGGTCAGCCGAGGGTAGATTAGAGCCAGGTCCGAAGGAATATCCGTCCAATTGCAAAAGTAATGCAGAGTGCTAACAGGGAAGCGCTCTATTGAGGTGAAGTGGAAAAGCCAACGATGTTTTCAGGGGGATGTGAGCAGACCGATATGTCTGCCCATTCCTGATCATTAGGGTCACAGTAGTAGGAAGTAAAGAGAACACTGATACGAGATAAGAATATCAGCTCAAACAGTGAAATATGTGGTAATATGCAGTAATGTGTGTCATAAGATAAAAAGCTTTAGGGATGGCAGCGCCCATATGAAAAGCCAGATAGCATGTCAAGGAAAGTCTTGGGACGAGGGGAACAAAGTGTTTATAATGTAGAGCCAGAGTAATAACGTCTCGGGTAAGGGTGAGGACGGTTTTATTGTTAAAGTGTGTAAAATTTAACGAGGCCTCCAAAGGCATTTGTACAGTCAATTAGGTCAACCGAACCAGAAGTGGCAACGTCTCAGAATTCTGAATGAATCCGGAGAACAAGAAGCCGATCTAACAAGCCCGGATTAGTCGGCGTGTTAGGATTAGGACGTATAATAGAGATGAGAAGAGAGCCATATTAATAAAGGGTGAATGAGTCAAGGATGCTCACGGAGTTAGTAAGATAATAAAGATTGAGCATATCTTGCAGGCACCTGAGGTGAGGGGAACATAGCTTTGAGTCAACAGAGCCTAGCCTGTTTGTATCTTCGTAGTTTTGAAGGTAGCCAGAAGAAAAATAGACTGGTCAGATGAGACTCGGTCAGGGCACGGTACTGAGAGTTAGCAGTCCGATGGAAGGAATGAATACAACGAAGTAAGGAAAGAAGAGGGTCAGAGTGAAGAAAGCTTTACTGATTAGGAGTAGCGGAGCCGACGAGACTCTCTAAGGTGCTGTGGACAAAATAGTTGGTCTTCTTAATATTGGCCATTATCGTCACAAGAGTCAGAAAGCAGGAGCCGAAATACGCGAGGCTGTGTTAGTCGGCGCATTGAGATTTAATAGTACGGTTACGTTGGGAAGCCCCCCCCCCGCTCCCCACCCTACCACCAGCCTCCACCTCCTCCCGCCCCCGCACCCAGCCCCTCACCCCTGTAGCCCCCCACCCTCCCTCCAACCACACACCACCCGCCCATCAAGCTGCGAGCTGATACTCAAGACCATCGGCCCCAGCCCCGATATCCTCATGGCTAACCATCCGGCCTCACCCGCCCCCCAGCGCTCCCAGTCCCCAGCACTTACCAAGACCCTGGTCTCTCCATACACGACGTGCGTACCCACCCCCCCCAGCAGAGCCCACCGCCCAACCCCCCCTCCCGCCTCCACCGCCAGGTTGCTCCCCCCACCCTGGCAGCCCCCCACCCCACCCCTCCCCCCCCCATCTCCCACCCCCCAACCCCCCCTCCGTTCCATCCCAACACCCCACAGCCCCCCACACGCCCACAACCCCACCACAAGCCCCCACGCCCACACCCCACCCCCCCCGCCCCCCCCGCCACTCCCCCCTCGCGCCCCCCCCCACCCACCCCCCCCCACTCGCCCCCCCCCACCCGCCACACCACCCCCCCGCGCCCCCCCCCGCCCCCCCCCCCCCCACCCCCCCCCCCCCCCCCCCCCCCACCCCCCCCCCCCCCCCCCCCCCCCCCCCCCCCCCCCCCCCCCCCCCCCCCCCCCCCCCCCCCCCCCCCCCCCCCCCCCCCCCCCCCCCCCCCCCCCCCCCCCCCCCCCCCCCCCCCCCCCCCCCCCCCCCCCCCCCCCCCCCCCCCCCCCCCCCCCCCCCCCCCCCCCCCCCCCCCCCCCCCCCCCCCCCCCCCCCCCCCCACCCCCCCCCCCCCCCCCCCCCCCCCCCCCCCCCCCCCCCCCCCCCCCCCCCCCCCCCCCCACCCCCCCCCCCCCCCCCCCCCCCCCCCCCCCCCCCCCCCCCCCCCCCCCCCCCCCCCCCCCCCCCCCCCCCCCCCCCCCCCCCCCCCCCCCCCCCCCCCCACCCCCCCCCCCCCCCCCCCCCCCCCCCCCCCCCCCCCCCCCCCCCCCCCCCCCCCCCCCCCCCCCCCCCCCCCCCCCCCCCCCACCCCCCCCCCCCCCCCCCCCCCCCCCCCCCCCCCCCCCCCCCCCCCCCCCCCCCCCCCCCCCCCCCCCCCCCCCCCCCCCCCCCCCCCCCCCCCCCCCCCCCCCCCCCCCCCCACCCCCCCCCCCCCCCCCCCCCCCCCCCCCCCCCCCCCCCCCCCCCCCCCCCCCCCCCCCCCCCCCCCCCCCCCCCCCCCCCCCCCCCCCCCCCCCCCCCCCCCCCCCCCCCCCCCCCCCCCCCCCCCCCCCCCCCCCCCCCCCCCCCCCCCACCCCCCCCCCCCCCCCCCCCCCCCCCCCCCCCCCCCCCCCCCCCCCCCCCCCCCCCCCCCCCCCCCCCCCCCCCCCCCCCCCCCCCCCCCCCCCCCCCCCCCACCCCCCCCCCCCCCCCCCCCCCCCCCCCCCCCCCCCCCCCCCCCCCCCCCCCCCCCCCCCCCCCCCCCCCCCCCCCCCCCCCCCACCCCCCCCCCCCCCCCCCCCCCCCCCCCCCCCCCCCCCCCCCCCCCCCCCCCCCCCCCCCCCCACCCCCCCCCCCCCCCCCCCCCCCCCCCCCCCCCACCCCCCCCCCCCCCCCCCCCCCCCCCCCCCCCCCCCCCCCCCCCCCCCCCCCCCCCCCCCCCCCCCCCCCCCCCCCCCCCCCCCCCCCCCCCCCCCCCCCCCCCCCCCCCCCCCCCCCCCCCCCCCCCCCCCCCCCCCCCCCCCCCCCCCCCCCACCCCCCCCCCCCCCCCCCCCCCCCCCCCCCCCCCCCCCCCCCCCCCCCCCCCCCCCCCACCCCCCCCCCCCCCCCCCCCCCCCCCCCCCCCCCCCCCCCCCACCCCCCCCCCCCCCCCCCCCCCCCCCCCCCCCCCCCCCCCCCCCCCCCCCCCCCCCCACCCCCCCCCCCCCCCCCCCCCCCCCCCCCCCCCCCCCCCCCCCCCCCCCCCCCCCCCCCCCCCCCCCCCACCCCCCCCCCCCCCCCCCCCCCCCCCCCCCCCCCCCCCCCCCCCCCCCCCCCCCCCCCCCCCCCCCCCCCCCCCCACCCCCCCCCCCCCCCCCCCCCCCCCCCCCCCCCCCCCCCCCCCCCCCCCCCCCCCCCCCCCCCCCCCCCCCCACCCCCCCCCCCCCCCCCCCCCCCCCCCCCCCCCCCCCCCCCCACCCCCCCCCCCCCCCCCCCCCCACCCCCCCCCCCCCCCCCCCCCCCCCCCCCCCCCCCCCCCCCCCCCCCCCCCACCCCCCCCCCCCCCCCCCCCCCCCCCCCCCCCCCCCCCCCCCCCCCCCCCCCCACCCCCCCCCCCCCCCCCCCCCCCCCCCCCCCCCCCCCCCCCCCCCCCCCCCCCCCCCCCCCCCCCCCCCCCCACCCCCCCCCCCCCCCCCCCCCCCCCCCCCCCCCCCCCCCCCCCCACCCCCCCCCCCCCCCCCCCCCCCCCCCCCCCCCCCCCCCCCCCCCCCCCCCCCCCCCCCCCCCCCCCCCCCCCCCCCCCCCCCCCCCCCCCCCCCCCCCCCCCCCCCCCCCCCCCCCCCCCCCCCCCCCCCCCCCCCCCCCC